TTTATTATTTTTTTGTGTGTGTACCGTCAAATCAGGTCTGACTGGTACAGGAGGAGATTGCCCCTCCTTCCCCAGCAGAGCATCTGGAGGATTCGAACCGTGCACCTCTGGGATTGTAGTTGCAGCTTTTTGCCACTAGGCCACCAGAGCTCCCCTTAATATAGAAATAATTTTTAAAAAAAGAGAGAGGGCATTCTTTAGAAAAGGATATCATGGTTGTAAAGGTGGAAGGTCAGAGGAGGAGAGGGAGCCCCTCAACCAGAAGGTTTGACACAGAGACTGCAGCAATGGGCTCAAGTGTGTCAAAAAGTGGTTGGCTGGCACAAGATAGGGCAGATTTCTTACTGGTATTCCATCCTTCCTAGGTCAAATTAGCAAGCATCATGTCACCAATGTCAAGGACCAGTATGACACCTTGTGAGGAGAAAGATGGCTAAGAACGTTATGGACTTCACTATGACTTGTTGGAGAACTTGCCAACTGAAGGCACACTATTTCTCTGCATTCTTTAACATCAAAATGGAGAAAAAGGCCTTAGCTAGAACAAGAGCTTTCATCCTAGGTACCAGACACTGTAGTAATTTGCTCAAGCAACATCTGGACCAGCTGTTGGAGTGACCATGATGTCACTCCACAATCTGGGTTTTTTTACAGGCTAGAGAGGTGAGTTTAGAGGGACTGCGGTGGGACAAAACCCCTAAATTCTTCAAGTCCTTGATGTTGGTCCATTCATCACGACAATTTCCCCAGGAAGAGAACACTGTATGCCCAGTACTGTTTTCCTTAGACACAGGTAGTAAGAGAACACTGTATGCCCAGTACTGTTTTCCTTAGACACAGGTAGTAAGAGAACACTGTATGCCCAGTACTGTTTTCCTTAGACACGGGTAGTTCTGATGGCTTCCATTAGCCTTTGCATACCCTCCTGGCACATGTCAGAATCAATTTGAGATACCCAATTTCCCTGAATCCACATCAGGGATCCAATGTGGCTGGTGGATCAGTGACTATTGTCCAATTCTATTTTTGCACCCTAGAATGAAGACAATCCCAGTAAAGATGGGCTTTGGGACCCACGATTGAACCAAGAATCCATCAAGAAGGAACCAAGAATCCATCAATACCTTCTTTGTGTCATTATTTGGGTGGGTCACAGTGACTTGTGTGTTCCCGTAGAATTGGTGTTTGTTCAGAACCAGTGTCCCATCATCTTCACAAAATCGGATCTCCTTTTCCCTATCGGGCACTCTCCTGTCGTGTTGATTAGCTGCTTCTGAAAACTGGGAGGGTCAGCAATGAGTCCCTTCTGAAGCAACAGTGTTCAATAACAATAATAAAATAGATAACCCCCTCCTTGTAATATGACTTACATTCCTTTGGAGGAGAGGAATAGTCTCAGGATCATTTAAGAATAGTAATAAGAACAGGATAGAGTTGGGGGAGGTCTTTCTTCAAATGGACCTGCCCACTCTTCCTTCTTTCAAGGGCTTTACCTCTATAGATTCATCAAGTGTGGTAACTGATCAGTTTGGCTATGATGTTGTGCACATTCAAATCAGATTTCGGTTCATAAATAAGACCTACTATTTCTCTGCTTGCAAAACCCATCATAAGTTATTTCAATCTCCCATCTGCCCATGAATTATGATGATGGCTTAGGAACCATTATAAATATTCCTCCATTTTTAAGTGAATCTAAGTATTTTAATTTTTTTGTAAGAACCATCATAAATATTGCACTCCTAGGAATTCAACGGTGAAGTAGCTTCTACCATGGTTACTGTTAAAGGCAACTGTGCCCTTTGTAGGAGTTTTAATTCTCTAAGAGAAAGTCTCACAGTCAAATCTGGGTTACATAAAATAGAAGTTACACCACACATCAAGGATGCTGGACACTCTCCCCCAAATATACTCCTTACAGTAAAATGTACCTATTCTGGTCCAGATAATAAACGTGTTGATTTAGATCAGGAGCTTTTCTTTTAACAAGGCTCTGCCACTGTGATTCTGCTGTTGATATCCCTTTTTAATTAAGGTTTCATTAAAGTTACTTATTTTGTATTCTTTTTTTAATTTTAAAAGCATGTGTTATAAAAATAAAACTAAGTTTATGAGAGCAATAAGCAGATGCACTATTTGTTCTTATAAATATTTCATAATAACAAAAGCTTCAAATAGATATGTGAGAACTGAATCAGTCTTTTTAGAGGCTAAAGCAGTTGCTCAGGAAAAGGATGAGGAAGTATTTACAGAATGATGTATATATTTTAATTTTTTAAATTTTTTAATTGAGTAATGTTTATTTGCCAAGCTTGATTAGATTTAAGACTTTTAGGATTAACTTTTTTTTTTCGAAGGATTAACTCTTAATGGTAGATGATGAGATTTTATACGAATGCATTGAGAACAATTTTGAACAACTTGTTGAACTCTTTTTCAAAGTGTTTTATAAAGACTGGGAGAAAAGTGCAACAATAAACGGAATTCCAAAATCTCTGTAGCTGTTCATTGAAATAAAAAAAAAATACTATGAAAACTAATAGGATTGTGAAAAATTAGAATGTTGTCTTTTGCCTTATAATATGTAGTATTTTTTCATTACATTGAGTTAAAGGTCCTGATAGATGTGTATATGCTCAAATATGGGTAATATCTAAGGGATTCTTTTTTTTTAAAACCATAAACTGAAATTATAAGAACAAAATGGACAGCAACAGATGGCCCTCTCCAAGAAGTGCCTTCTCCTGACAATGTGCTCAAAGTATACAAAATGAAGCTTTGTCATTCTTTGCCTCCAAGCAGCATTCTGGCTGCACTTTCTCTGAAACATATCTGTTCTCTGACCGTCCATGGGATATTCAGGACTCCAGCACCACAGCTCAAAGGTGTCAATTCTTCTTCTGTCATTCTTATTCATCATCCAACTCTCAGATGCATAGTAGGCGATCAGAAAGACCATCACACCTTAGTCCTCAAACTGATATCACTGGTCCTGAATAATTTAGCGAAATCCCTGTCTGCAGGCTTGTCCTGATAAAGTCTCCTGACTTCCTGACTGCTGGTATCAACGGTATTCACTGTGGATCCAAGAAAGATGAAGTTGTTAGCATTTTCAATCTTTTCTCCATCTATCTTGATATTGCCTCTTGGCTCAGGAAAGAGAATTTTTCTTAATGTTAAGAAGCAATCCATACTGAAGGCAGTATGCGTTGATTTTCTGCAGTGGGCACTTCAAGTCCTCCTCAGTTTCAGCAAGCAAGGTTGTGTCACTTGTACAACACAGGTGATTGATGAGTCTCCCTCCAAGAAACACTCTATCAAAGACCATTTTTCACAGAATCCAGGTTCTCGAATAATTGGCTCAGCATATTCAATGTCATATTCAC